GCAGCAGACATGACAACATCTGGGGGCTTCTCTGGGCGGTCAGAGCAGGGCGAGGAAATTGCCCGTTCAGAGGCTGCTTTGTGAATCGATACATGGGTAATGCACACCGCGGTGTTTAGAACAAATAGCAAGTGTCAGAAGTAAATAGTTCTGTATTTTAAGCAATGGAAAGAGAGTGTAAGTGCTTTTCCAGGGTAAGTGTAGAAAGCCATTACAAAGCTTATCTTTGCAACTGACCTATAAAAGCTATAAACACATCAAAGGCTTTGAGGACATCAGATACAAACTTTAATTCTTCCCACAGTCAAAACTCCCATGAAGTCAATGTCCCAGGATCACGACTCTGAGTATGTTCAGTAATGCTAATGGACCTCTGACTTCCATGGGCACCTTCATTCACAATTGTAATTTAATTCAGGTTGCAATTTATTAAATAGTGATTTCTTGTAATGATTTTTGCTCTAAATCGCTGGATGTAAGGCGACACAATTTTTTATAATAGAATTTCTTGGAGGTTTTATTAGTACAGAATAAAAAACTTAAAAATGTAGCTGAAGTACTTTTTATTCAAGACAACAGCCTTTTGTTTACTTTTAGCAGGTTAAGAGGTTATATTTGTGTCACAAGTAAAGGCAGGCAGAATTTCTTCCAGGTAAAGAGTCTAGATTTTCATAGCAATCTCAGATTTTAGCAGCAAACACTTTTCTTATATTTTTGTCCATCTCTAACACATTTACTCAGTCATAGAACCATGGATTTCAGTAACTGTGGCTTTTTGATTTTCTAAAATGGTATGCAAAGATGTCCTTTACTGTAAATACTTAACGAGTTAACCTGATATCATAAGCTATGAATACAGAGGGGATGAAAATGCCAGTGGATGCCTCTGAATGTTTTAGCCTTAAGGCTCCTGCAGGTTTTATTCGGATTCACAATAGTAGGAGTGGGAAGGAGGAGATAAATAAAACATTTGTTTCAGAAAGTAGGTGACTTTGACAGAACACTGATGTAAACCATGAAGCCTTGCAGATCAGAGGAATATTGTTAAGAAGGGAGGCTGGTGAAGAGCACTCAACACCAGCCCCCGAGTGGTGCTGATCAGAACAGTTCTGCTTTGCTTTTAAGTATTATTGCACCTTCTCTGCTATTCTGTAAAGAATTCAGTTGGTGACTCCCACTGATGTATCACAGTCACTCAAAGATGTTTTTACAGCACTCATTGGGTATTTTGGTAAAGGTCTAATCTCATTTGGATTTATTACGATTTATCTGGGATTAAGCATTTATCTGCTAAGGATTATGACCCATACTATGAGGTATGGATGAACTATCAGAGTTCAGGAATGTCTAAGCACATTAGAATGAATCAGCATTATTATTTTTTGACACAGTCTTCACACATTATCTTTTTTCAATCAACTTTGCAACATTCATACAGATAAGTATCTAATTTTCCTTTAATACGGGCAGTAACCTGGAAAGCTCTTAACATCCAGTAAGAGCAAAGCTGCATTTAATTAGGAGCAGCTTAAAAGATCAGGCCTCAGAGCCACATGACTTCGCATTCACTCTGCCTTCAACTGTCAGTATAACTATTGATTTTTTTTATACCAATTTAAATATTTTTTCTTAGTTTGGAAATGTATTTTGGTGAGTCTTCCACTGCTATCACAACCTTCTACTTTTTTTCTAGTTTGCATAGCCAGGAGTGAAAAAAGGAGCAAGGATAAAGAAGACTATGTTGTTTATATCTTTCTGGACTTTTAAGATATTTTTTTCTGTTTGAAAGTGTTTAAACTGCTTCCACTATTGATATACACGGTACTGCACCTTAGGAAAAGTGTTGGATTTCTCATAGGCTTAAAAGAAGTTGGTTTGGCTTCAGTCTGTGGCACAGCCACCAATGTATGCTATACATTGCCCCAAAAAGCCTTCTGGCTGTTTTCATGCTTAATCATTTTGTATATATATCTTAGAAATTCCATTTTATGTTGTTTTAATTGCACAAATTTGGAGAATTCCAGTTGCCACTTTAAATCTGTATGTTTGGAAGTTTTCCTTACCATTCAGATTTTTTTCTTTATGATGATACACACAAAGAAGGTTTAAATACTTTCTGGCAGTGTTTTATAATGCTGAAAATAAGACCTTGGATACGAAACTGCACAATTTAATGTGTTTAACCACTCTTAATAAAGGAATTAGGAAAAAAATATATGGTTCATTTTCAGTATACATTTCTACTATTTGCTAAATAGTGTCACATTTAGAGTGTGCAGTTCTGTGACAAATGACTACACTGCAGTGTTATTGTTCATTTCGAGGAGTGCCTGCAATGCCTGGTTTGCTAAGCAGGGAGTTTGCAGTACAAATGTAGCTGTGAAGAGAGGAAACCTCTGAAAGGTTGTAGGGGACACCAGATTCAGTGAGTTTGACTTCACTGCATGGAGTAATAGAATTAAATTTTTGGTTTCACAATAACAGCGCAGAACTCCCATTTCTTTACAGTGTTGGGATGTAGCATGCCCTTTTACCAATTTGTATCACAGTTTCTTTTCCAATTAATGTTTAGAGCTATGGACACAGTGATGCGTGTGAAACCTGAGCTCTCATTTCAGTTAAATAAGGAAAAGACACAGCTGATGAAAAATTAGATGAAACAAAAGAGAAGTGGATGAGCACAGAAGAGAATTGATCTACCATAACCAAAAACATTGATGAATAAGCTGTAAAGAGACATAATCAAAGACAAAATTATTTTTCAGTACCTTTTCTGAAAAACATTGAATAGAAAATCATCTGGATTCAGAAGAGAAAGGTTCTTTACCCGCTTTCACATGAATATGTGTGCAAGGAGAGAAAAATAGTGAGTGAGAAGGGTATTTTCTGCTAATGGGATACATTAACGTTGCCATGGAATTTGGGATCAGCATGCACAGGGTATTGATCTTGAACCTGCTTCTGAGCTACAAGGATGAGGAGGACATGTTAATTTACTTACTTTTGACATCAGCCCAGAACTACACATGTATAGGGAAAACCTAAGGATAGGATGGATGGCAAAGGTGAACTTTGAAAAGCCTCTTTCTCACAACCATAGAATCATTCAGTTGGAACAGACTTTAGGAGGTTTTCTAGTGCAAACTGCTCAGATCAGGGTCAACACTGAAATCAGCTGGTTGAGGATGTGATAGAGGCTGCTGTGGGGACCATGCTGAAAGCCTTGCTGAAGGCAAGGCAGGCAACATCTACAGCTCTGCCTTGGCACATCTTCCAGGGCATCACAGAAGGTCATTAGGCTTGGTCAGGTTGGGCAAACCTTGGAGAAGCCATGCTGGATACCACTTCTAACCACCTTTCTTTCTTCAGGAATGGCTCCTGCAGACTTGCAGAATTATTGTCCCAGAGGACAAGAAGTAGTTCCCTGGATCATCATTCTTGCATTTTTTAGGGTGATGGGCTTTTGCATAGATTCATGTGAAACCAGGCTTAAACTTCACAGTTAAAAGATTTGACATAGTCCACAGTGATACCCTCCTTATAAACTGGGACTAAAAAGTCTGTAAACAATTATTGATCTCCACATGCTACTGGGGAAATTTTCCAAGATCAGTGACAGCTGGGAAATCACTGGCATTTTAAAATTATATATCAGTGATTCACTTTTTTGGCATTTACAGTATTGCATTATGGCAATGAACACACTAGATGTGTATTTAAAATACCACACTGACTTTAGCATTTTAGTATTTTTTGTTTGAGCTGTATTACAGATGAAAATTTCTTGATACAATTCAAAATAATGGGTTTGTTTATTGAAGATATTAAGAAGTTAGAATGAGGAAAATGATTCTTTGTGTGAAAATAATTCTACTTTCTCAACAACAGCATCTCCTGAGTTTCTTTGATTCACACCTGATTAATGACTAAACTAGATTTTAACTCCTGTAAACACTGCAGAATGCAGAGAGCTATAGAAAAGTAAAATGTATTTTGCCCTCCTAAATAATTGTTTACACAGCCCTCAGTTACATTTTATTCTGGAATTATTTGCAAGAGAGAGGTTTGGTTTCAAGTCATTGGCCCTTAGAAGATTGCCAAAGCCTCTGGTCAGTCACTGAGCTGTCATAATTTGGGAGGAGGAGCTGAGTGCTTGCCCACAGAAGGGCACAGCTACATGAAAGGAAAATGTTTATTTGGTAAAACAATGCTAAAATCACCTCTTTGCTGGAGAATAAAAAACGTGTGGTGATCCCAAGCTTGTTCTGTGCTGCTGGGCAGGAAGGACTTCACATGAGCACAGTGATTCCTCTGGCTGCTGAGGGATCTGCTGTGACGCATTCCGAAGGATGCTGCATATGCCTTGGCTGGGAAAATGATGTTTTCTTTGTACTGGTCGAGGCTAGAAAAGAAGGGGAAATGGTGGGAGTGGTGACTCGGGTGATCTTTAGAGAAAAAATAATGCAAATAAAAGTTGA